TTTTAACTGGGGTTGGGGATTTAGCTCAGTGGTAGAGCACAAGCCTAGCAAACACAAGGCCCTGGGTTTGGTCCTCAGCTCTGAAAAAAAAAAGACAAAATAACATCTTTTAACTTAATAATTTTTAAATTTTAAAGTGACATTATTATTTTATATACTTCATTTTTTAACTTTTTACTGATTCCCTGTGAGCTTTTCATTATGAACCACAGCACTGCTTATCGCCTTGTTCCCTCATATCTGCCCTTCAACTTTGCTACCCCCCTTACCTAAATATAAAACACATACACACAAAAAACCAAAGCATAGAAAACATTTCATCATGGAAGGTGTAGTATGTCACAGTATGTCCCATAGTATATCCCTCTGTCCACACATCTTCACTTGCAAATGTTCATTGCAATGAGTCATTGGTCTAGTTCAAGAATTCTGGCTTCTGTGACATCACCAATACTGGATCCTCACCAGGGCTACTCCTGGTTTTCATGTTGTTGCCATGTGTCATGGAGATTCTGAAGCTTTGGTTCAGCAGGACTAGCCCATTTGCGTGTCCAGCCATTCGAAGATAATACAGATTTTCGGATGGGCCATATCAGAGACCTGGATCTGGGTCTGGGTGGAAGCCTATTTGATCAGTGTGTCTACTCTCCCTTATCTGCACCACCAGGGTGAGTTCCACAGCACTGCTCGGGCTAGACCACCCAATGCTGCCATCAGAAGGAGGCAGCGCCAGCTCTCTTGTTCTCATGTGCTTGGGCCAGCTCACCTGCACCCACATCTCCAGATCCACCTTCACTGTGCTGCCATGTGACTCGCGCCCACCTCGCCAGCAAGGAAAACAAGCGGCACCACACTAGGATCCTTCCGCAGCAAACGTTTATTCCCAATCAAAATGGAGGAAGAAGACCCCAGGCCCGGAAAAAGCACTGTTTATATACCCTTAGAGCGGTGAGCTCACCTCTGATTGGCTGCTTACTCGTCGCCCGCCAAAACACCCTGGGATGGGCTATGACTTTGGCGTGCTTTTACCATAGCACATGCGCAGTTTACTTGTTTACTAGGAGGAATACCAGATGCCAGTGCCATCTTGGAATGGCGAATTTTGCCAGCGCAAGCCGCGGCTTCCTACACTGCCAAATCAAGGTATGGGACCCACTGTCCCAAGTATTGCAAGCTGTGAGGGACTGGGACAGCTCTCCAGCTCTCACACCCACTGGCTTTCCCAGGCCATCATCATCAGGGCCAGCTCCACTGTGTTGTCCAGGGGAGGTTCAAGGCCAGCTTTCCAGAGTTGTACAGCCAGTGAGGAGTCACAGACAGCTCTCCTGCTCTCATGCTTTTAGGGACAGGTCTCCCAATTATTGTAGGTGACAAGGGGCAAGAAAGGAGAGCATCACTCACATTCCTACGCAACCTCTTGGCAGATGAGTGGTGGGGCTAGCTCTCCAGTGTTCTTGCCCTCAGGGATGCCTCACCCCAACGAGTTCACCCTCAACCAGGGCTAGCCCTACTATGGTGGTACTTGGCACCATCAGATCCCAGTCCTCTCCTACCCAGCAAGCCCCAGATACCCTAACACACCTAAAAAATAAGATTCCGACCTAAAATTCCAAATCATGTAGATGATAGAGGACCTTTAGGAGGACATTAATAACTTCTTTAAAGAAATACAGGAGAGCACAGGTAAATAGGTAGAAGCTCTTAAAAGAGAAACATAAATCCCGTAACAAAACACAGGAAAACACAATCAAACAGGTGAAAGATTGAACAAAGCCATCCAGGATCTAAAAATGGGAATAGAAACAAGAAAGAAATCACAAAGGGAGGCAACCCTGGAGATAGAAAAAACCTAGGGAAGAGATCAGGAACTACAGATGCAAGCATCACTAACAGAATACAAGAGATAGAAGAGAGAATCTCATGCATACAAGATACCATAGAAGATATTGACACAACACTCAAAAATACAAAGTGCAAAAAGTTCCTAACCCAAAACATCCAGGAAATTAAGACACAGTGAAAAGACTAAACCTAAGAATAATAAGTATAGAAGAGAGTGAAGATTACCAATTCAAAGGGCCAAACTTATCTTAAACGAAAATACTACTCTCTACTCAATGATAACTTGGTCAGGGAAGAAATGAAGAAATTAAGAACTTTCTAGGATTTAACAAAAATGAAGGCACAGCATACCCAAACTTATGGGACATAATCATGGGAGACAGAGGGAGGGAGGAAGCTGGGTGGGGAGGGGAGAAGGAGGAAAAAAGGGAAGGCAGGACTAGGTATGGGAAGAAACAGAAGAGAAGTCCAGAGTGCCAGGAGAATGAATAGGAATAGGTAGCAGTGGTGGTGGGGAACTTGGGGAACCAGTAGAAAGTCCCAGGTGCCAGGAATGCAAGAGGATCCCTGGACCCAATGAGGATAACATTAGCTGAAATATCCAATAGCAGGGAGATAGAACCTGAAGAGACCTTCTCCAGTAGATAAACATGACTCCCAGTGGAGGGATAGGGCCACCCAGCCATCTCAAAATTTTTAACCCAGAATTATCCCTGTCTAAAGGAAATGCAGGGACAAAAATGGAACAGAGACTGAAGAAAAAGCCATCCAGAGACTGCCCTGCTCTGCTATCCATTCCATCTGCAGACTCCAAACCCAAACACTATTGCTGATGACAAGATGTGCTTGCAGACAGGGGCCTGGTATGGCTGTCCTCTGAGAAGCTCTGCCAGCACTCGACTAAGACAGATGCCAATACTCACAGCCAACCATTGGACTGAGACCGGGAAGAGAGAGAGGCAGGGCTGAAGGAGCTGAAAAGAATTGCAACCCCATAAGAACAACAGTATCAACTAATTGGACCCCTCAGAACTCCCAGTGACTAAACCACCAACCAAAGAGTGCACATGGGTGGGTCCATGGTTCCAGGTACATATTCACCTGCATCATTGGTAAGGGAGGCGCTTGGTCCTGTAGAGGCTTAATGCTCCAGAGAAGGGGGATGCTAGATAGATGTGGCAGGAGTAGGTATGTGAGTAAGAGAGCACCCTCTTAAAGGCAAAGGGGAGTGGGAGGGGTTAGAGGTTCGAGGAGGGGAGAAAGAGTAGGAGGATAACATTTGAAATGTAAACAAATAAAATTATTAACAAAAATATTTTTGAAAAGATAAGTATTACTTTTAAAATAATAAAAAAAAATTGCCAGGCATGGTGGACACCTTTTATCCCAGTGATCATAACGCACAAAGAGGTGGATTTCTGTGAATTAAAGGCCAACCTAGTATATATAGTGAAAGCCTGCAAGTTCCAGAGCAGTCAGAGCTACATAGTGAAATTCTGCCTTCAAAGACAAATGAACATTTCCTATAAAATTTATTCATCTGTAATAAGGTATGTTCTAGAAGTACATTGATTAGGGAGGTCACCTCTAAACTTCAAATTCGAGAACTGAAAATCATAGCCCTATAAGTTATTCAATATATATTCTTCCTGTGAGATGCCAATTGATGCTTTTCCTTTAGTTAGAATACAAAAAAAGTGGGTTTCATTGTGCCTAGCAGCATAGCCTATAACTTAAGTATAAGATTGTCTTTTTAGCTTCTTCCAGTCTGAAAAGTGGGAGTAATTATGGTATACACATGATGGTACTGTAAATAATAATAAGTGTGACAATTCATGTAAAACTTATGTTTTATACTGAGTAAATGATCACTATTTCTTTTGTATCTCTCTGATTATTCAAATATGCATTTGTGACATTGCCTTCAGAAACTATGCTTCAGAATGTATGAGTAAACAAGGATATATATTTACCCCACAACTCTTTCAATTGTTGTTTATACTTCCACGATTTTCATTTTCAGCCTTGTGTCAGTCTACCATCTAACACTGCACATGCAATGCCTGGCATTCGAGGCCTTCTCATTCTAAATCTTTAACTTAATCACCTTATTAATTACTTCTTTCTAAATTCCTAACCAAATATGATGTTGATTGCTAGTTATTTTTTCCATCACTAGGTCAGGTGGACATTGACAAAAATGTTCTCAAATAGTGGATTGAAGAATATATTTGGATGCTTCTCCAGCATTTACTACTTTGTAAAAAATAAAAGAGTAAACAATACTTCAAACAAAATACCTTTCTCCTAAAGAAAAGTAAGCAGCATATCTAATCCTGTAGAATCTGCATTTAAATATATATAAATTGTTATGAGTTATAATACTCTTTGCAGTTTTTTTAAGCTATTAGAAATACTCAGTGTTCTAGGATTCTATATGATTTGTAAGTAGACTTTAACAGTTCTTTTACAAAGAGTTTGGGATACTGTATGGCAGTTGCATTTAGAATTGAGGTTTTAAAAAGCCAATTCAAGGCTGTGTGGTCAGCTATTCCCTTCTTCTGATCTCATATCTCTGTGATAAACATATCAGAGCTATGATAGTATTATCTTCTGTAATGCCTTAAAATAATTTTGCTAGTTGTTCTTTACTTAAATAAGGAAAGTTAAATTGAAGAAGGACTAACTGTAACCATCTTCTTTCGCATTTCAGAATCCTTGCATAAAATAATCTCATCATATCAATAATCAATTTCCTCCTTGGGTTATGTAATGTTTCCCAGCCTTTGAAGTCCAAAACCAATCATTGCTTGCTTAGATATTGTCATTTTTTTCTGTGACCACATCAGAACTTCACAGCTGTAAAAAGTCCAAATATTCCTTTTAAATGAGTGCCAAATTTCATTTACATGCTATTCAACAAACTGCAGAAAGCACTACTTTTTTTTTCCAAACACTTGTAAAGGGCCAACTGTGAGAGCTGATTTTTCTTTTCTCCACAAAAATATAGAAGCATCCAAGTGAATATTTTTAAAAACCCTTCTCTTTAGAATGATACACTCTGTACAATGATTGTGATAATGTTACCATTAACTCCAAACACAGTGAGAACTTTCTAAAGCAGTGCTTATAGATTCAAGTTAATAAATCATACATAGTTCCAATTTAAAAAAAACATTTTATTACATTATAATTACAGAACTATCTCATACCCCAAAACCAAGAAATGTTCTTTTTAATTCCTCATTTTGGTGGTCTCTTCCTCTTGCTTAGTCTACACAAATTCATGTTCTAAGGACTACCACTTCCTTTTCTTGCCTACACACCAAATGTCTATCCTCTGTTAATTTCAGACTTAAAATACCAGTGAATTGTCAACCTGAGAAGCTGAGGGGTCTATTGTATTTGTATCAACTATATGAATACTTAAAATAGTATTTATAACTTTCTTGAAAAAATAAGTTCACATATTTCTCTCATATCTATTCACAATGTGATAATACTTCTCTATTTCTAGTGCAATTGTGTGAGTTATGATATCTGAAAACCCTTGAGATTTTATTTAGTGACATATAGCAATGTGTAAGAATTTTTTAAAAGGAGAATTCTTAAAAGGAAACCTACATTTTCTAAAATGTAGCTCAGTTTCATAGCTTTCCATTTATGAGATTTGCATGGCTTATATTAAGCTATAAAATTGACTTTGAAATAATGAACTACTGGGATTCTTCTCATCAAGACTATACAGATGATTACACTAATAGGATAATATATTATCAGAGAAGACTCTATCCAGAATCATGCTAATCCCCAACCTATGGATTTTTCGATGAGCCCAAGAAAATTGTGTTAAAATGATCTATATTTCCTATGCTTAACTTCAGTTTGTGTTTTCAGTATTCAACTCAAACTTAGTATTGACCTAATATGTATAAAATACGTATAAAATACGTATAAAATATAAGCAGAAGGAATAGTATAAGCATACTTAACAGTATACTTAACAGTAATCCTGAGGCAAGTTGTTTAATCTCTCGGCTGTTACATTTATTCATTTCTATTTGCAATTTCCACATTTATTGTCACCTGTATTGGAAAAATAAGATGAGATGTTCTTTGTAAAAATATATAGAAAACTGCCAACCTATAAAACTATAGACATCTATAAACATCCAAGGAGTGGATTTTAATGCCCTTCATTCAGTAGTAAGAGTGCAATGCTAAAATTCATTCATGCACTGTTTTAACATTTGTGTCACATTGCCTGTGTTTTATGTTTTAGAAAGACTTGAAATCTTTACTCCATTCAGAAATAAAATTATTTCATGGAAGACATTTACTTTTCTGTAAAGATTAATATATATCTTGTATCTCAGTATTATTCTATTTACAGAAGACAAATTTAAATATGTGCATTCAGTTTATATTTGGATGGAAACATCTGTTAAAAACTTGAACTTTATGTGGGACTTATAACTAATATAATGCCATAAATTTTAAATTGGAAGTACATGGATCCCATCTTTCTCTATACTCCCACAATTTTTCACATTATGCCTCCATCATCTATGGAGACCACTACCATCACACAATAAAATTTATTTCTGCTATTTCCAAGGTTCAATTAAAGAAGTTGTTTGCCTGGCAATTCCTGTCTTTGGACCAGGCTACAGAACATTAGAATCTAGCTGAAGAATTATCTCATTTTAGCTAACCATTGATGAACCACTCTCCCTGCTCATGAGACGAGAACGGATAACAGAGCTACCATGGCGAGATAGTTGGTCACGAAACTCTGAAGCCATGAAATAATACAGAATTGGGTCCAAAAGACAACAGAGACTTGCAAGGCACAGGGAAAATGGATGGAAATACAGAGTACTTTTCACAATGGGACAGCTGGTAATGATGCTTTCCTTTACCATGGTGTAAAAAATGAAGTTAATGTGATAAGGAGTGAAACAAATAACAAAGACTGCAGCACACATGAAAACCATCCGCAATGCTTTTTTCCTTTCACCTATTCCTTGAAAAGCAATCGGTGGGTGTTTCAAGGATATAGTTGTTTTCCAGGTACAAAATGCGATAGTGATAACTGGAATCACAAATCCAGCAAGTTCAGCAATTGTAACCATGGTGACCAGAACCATTGCATCCATTTGTTTGTACCCAAGATCCGCAAAGCAAGATTCTGTGTTATTGGCTAAGCCAGCACTTCTCAGGATGGGAAATGGCAAACAGGCAGTCCCCACGACGATCCAGATGACAGCACTGATTCCCACATCGTACCTACGCTTCCAGTTTCTGGCTCTGAATGGCTTGAGGAGAAAGAGGCACCTCTGAAGGCTAATGCAGGTCAAGAAAACAATGCTGGCATACATGTTGAGATACTTCAGATAGAAGCACAGCAGGCAAAGGGCCCTCTGGAATGGCCAGTGACGATTGATATAATAGTAAATCCGAAGAGGTAAGGACAGGACATGAGCAAGGTCTGCCACTGAGAGGTTGATCATGAAGATGATGGCCTTGTTCTTCTTGCTGATGAAGCGGCACAGAACCCACAGGGCTGCACTGTTAGCCAGGAGACCCGGGATGAATATGAAGATGTAGGTGGTTGCATACAAAGAGTACTGAAATGTCAAATAAGTGACATTGCAATTACTCTCAGCAGTGCTGGTACTATTGCTGCCCATCTTGAATATCTCAGTATCTTCAGCAGGGAAAACTGTGGAATTAAGGCTTCTGCAAAAAAAAAAAAGCACAAAGTTAAAAAGCACAATGGTTAGCTAATACTTTAGTGAATATCTTGGACTCTCTTTTACACTGAGATATAGAATATTCCAATTAGAGATAACACACAGATCAATAAGAAGAGGCTCAAAGAAGATGCATTTCTCACCCAACATTGCACAGTAAATCAGTTAAGAAATGATGGAAATGTGCCCTGGCATATTTCTTGTATTCTTCTTATCATATCAAAGACATTGTGGCATTTAAATATATTCCTCAAACTCCCTTCTCCAGCATTAGAAAGTGTCTTGAGTTTACATCTGGCTAACTTGGAGAATGTGGGAATATGACTTTTTCATTATTTCATCATAATAGCTCACTACTCAAGTCCTCTTGAAGTTGGTCTATCTCCCTGGGCTTGTGTCCCATTCTCGGCTTACATGAAACAGTTCAATAATGTATAATTTCACATACTGAACTATGAATACTTCCTTCTTGTAATTTTGGAAGTATAGTGCTCAGGTCTCCCTCTCTGAAGAATTCTACACCATTATATATGTTAGTCTGTATACATATAAATATAGAATTTAAACGAAATGTTCCTATCCAGCCTGACAATTCTCCCCACAGGAGACATATACTATCTAGCAAAGCCCAATGCCAGACATAAGAAGAGTTTTTTGAGTTGTTGCCTAGGGATATTCAAGAGACTCCCAAAACATAGGCTATTGCTGTTTCCCTTGCTTAACAGAGGTAGAAGGTACGTCTATATTCCTGATGACACCATACACTTTGGACCCAAGACCCAGAGAACATGAGATGTATCTGAAAGCCTCTTCCTTCAAAACTAGCATTCGTGGTACCAGAAGGCATCTGCAAGCTTCCAAAGAGAGAGAGCAACTGATATATATGATACCTATGAATCACATTAACAACCAACATGACATAATAATCCCAAAGTTACAGTCAATACTGGCATGCACACCTTGGTATTAATTTGGATGTAAGAGGTACCCACTCAATATGAGGGAAATCATTTCTGGTACTGGAAACCAATCAACTACTCCAGGATAGTGAAGCCATGAATTGTGGAGGAGAAACTACAGCTGACCACTTACTAAACTACTATCATCTCTAACAACATTTTAAATATTTGTCCTGCTACAGATAAGTGTATCCCTCACTCCTCATCAAGGACAACTCCTTTTGCAAAAAAGAGACCACTAAAGAAAACCACAACCAGCAAAAATGTAGAATTGTGAACCCCAACTTCAGTACAACTCTTTCATCTTAAGGCTCAAGTATCACTGCAAAAGAGGGAGTAGGCAGACTGTGAGAGTCATAAGAACAGGAAGTTTGCTGTAAGATTGTTTTTCTTAGAAACATCAAAGAATTTATACTCATGAAGTGTTACCAACATCACTGCCTAAACATGAGCAGAATTGGGACAACACCTATAGACATGCTAATGTGGAAGGGGAAAATTCATGAGGCCATAACCCTTCATAATCCTAGATAATCCCCCCCCCAAAAAAAAACCCTATTGGCAATAATGAGTGGAGAAATAAGTTTTTTCTAGGGAAGGACATACTATTTGGTAATCTAGTACAAAATGGTTAGTCCTGAAAACATATATATACAATTTTCATTATATGGACTGAGCAGGTTATATTTATTTATTTAGAAGCACATGACCTCAACAACAATATCAAAAAGACCGTGAATTTTTGAGAGAAAGTAAGGTGAATACATTGAAGGGGTTGGAGGAAGGAAAGGTAAAAGAGAAAATTATATAATTATAATCTCAAAAAATACTTAACATTTTTAGAAGAATCCTACATTGGTGCAATGCCAGCAGAGGACACAATATCTAATAGTCATGGTGAACATTGCCCTAATACCAGTAAAACGGTCCATCCAAACTATTTTTTGAGAACAACTTAAAATTTAATTTTCAATGAATAGTAAAGTAATCATTATAGGAACAAAACTGTTAAGACATTTTATATCATATGATGATTCATTGTTGTTTTAGTTGTGTATTATGTTGAGGTATAGAAAACATAAAGTAATCTGTAGGGCTTCTCAAGTTCTGCACAAAGTCGTAGAGGTTACCTGCAGAAGACAATGGGAAGTAGCAGCAGATTTATTATCTTATTTTAACTACCTTATAAAATCTCAGATTAGGAAGGCTCTTTGAAAATCAACTATTAAGCCTATACATAATACAGGAAAAAGAAGCTAGTACTAAAGAGAAATTGATAAATGAAAGATCTGAGAATTCAAGTGGGAGGTATTTTAATCTCTACAGATATTCTTCTCAATCTTCATTTCCCTCCCCACAACAAATTACACAAGCATCCCTTTTATGAGATTGCAAGGATGATTATTTTATTCAAAGCTTCAAGGGGAAGAAAAAAGAAATAAAAAGGGTAAGAAGGAAGGAAGGAAGGAAGGAAGGAAGGAAGGAAGGAAGGAAGGAAGGAAGGAAGGAAGGAAGCCCGGAAGTTGTTTCTGATATGAAGTGGCTTTTTACATTTTAACTTTTATTCTGCTGTCTGTTGAATGTATTTACTACAATGGAGTATTGTAGTTTTAAGTTCTCTTTCTTTGTGGACAAATGGCATCTAATACCATTTTCATCCCCAATGCCATACACAGAGATGGAATAATATAACAGAACCCCAAGTGACAATTTCACAGAAAGAAAGAACCCATGTACTTTCACTTTGCCTACTCTTCTCTGTCATATGTAAATATACTTGACCTATAATTGGTGATATGACATAAAGAGTAATGTAGTCATCCTGTGTGTTTATGGAGGACTTCGAATAGAGAGGTACTCAAAGGTGAAAGGGAGGAAGTCATATTTTAACCATGAAGATTGTAGACCAGGATCAGCAAAATAAGTATCCACATATTTGATATAATTTACTAGTATAAATTATTATTAAAAATTATAATAATCCACATATGTTATTATCATTATATAACATAGATGGAGAGACTGATGTTTAGAGAGATTTAGTGAACTTGGAGGTTGACTTAGTCAGTGTTCTACTGTAAAGAGACACCATTACCAAGGTTAAAAATTCATTTAATAGGAAACTTGACTGCTACTTGAGAGGGTTGGTACATGCTCATCATAGTGGGAAATAAACAAACTTGTAACTGAAGCAGTGGCTGACAGCCTTATATCCTGATCTATAGGCAGCAGGAAGAGGGCAAGAGAGACAGAGACAGAGAGACAGAGACAGACACAGATACAAATACTAAGCCTGCCATGGGCTTTTGAAGTCTCAGTGCTCAATCCCAGTGATATACTCCCTCCAACAAGGTCACACTTACTTCAACAAGGCCATACCTCCTCATTCTTCTCAAAACCTTCCAGTCTTGGTGACTAAGTGGGTGTCAATCAAACCACCACAGAGGTAAAAAGCAAAGCATACTCTTTTGTAGGGTTGTTCCAAGTCTTGAGGAACTTTGTCACTTGCCTCCCTGGAACTAGATGTGACTTTAAAATGTAGCTAGCTTATCCACCATTTTCACAGATTCAAAAGGAAATTCCCCTGGTTGGTTCATATGTCAAATTCTATGTCCTTAGCTTGTGGTTCTCTGGAAATGTTAGGAGGTAAGGCCTGACTTAGTGATGTGAGTCACTGATGATGAGCTCTGTCTTTGTTTTCTATCTACCATGGTGAAAGCTCTCTGCATTGGTGAACTGAGTAAAAATGAATCCTTCCCAACAACCATGCTGATTTAGATGCTGGCATTACTTCTATTGTCACTTGTTGTTACCTATGCAGTGGTTTCCAGAGAGCAAAGAAAGCTGCCAGCACTCTACAATTTCAAGAACTATGAACACCTCGAGTCCAATAGAATCCCACTTCCACTTTTGAACTTAACAAACATGGGTATTTGGTTTTATTTGGTTTGGTTTTTTTTTTTTTTTTTTTTTTGGCTTTACCAGTGAAGACAGTTTCACTTGCTAACTTACGAACAGATCATCACACCCAAGAGCTAAATAGCAGAGCTCAGTTGGCCAAAAGAGAACGCACAAGGCCAGTTGCACCTTTTTTATTATGGGTTTGTGTGCCTCTGAATCTGTCACATAAACAACTCGGAAATTCACAATTAGTCACAAATTTAGATTCTCATGACCTTGTTGCCAAAACTCTTGTCTTCTCTAAACAGAACAAATAGAAGAGGAAATAGTAAGAGTTTTCCCTCATCTCCTCAGTAAAAATTAAGTGTAAAATCCCCATGCTGGGGAGAGATGGGGAATTTATTCTTGGTTCAACAGAAATGCAATACCTTGGAACAGGAACACCTCGCCTTCTCTGAAGAATTTGTGTCATTTTGAAATTTAAGAAATAAAAGCAATCTAAAAATCTACTAAGACAAAAGTATCGAGCATGCCCCCTCATTCTCTCTGTTTTTTGGTACTGTTCTCTAGCAGTGCCGCTCTAGCCCCATCTCTCCTTTTCCCTTGTTCTCTCAATTTCAGGGTAGCTTCCCCTACTTACATTACCAACATTGCTCTCCTTTAACCTAGACATATTTTTGGTTCCTGTCTCATGAAGAAATGTGAAATTCGTGATTCATTCCTGAATGTGTGCTTCCCTTTTCTGCATCTGTTGATCCCTCTATTCAGAATGGCCTCATTCCGTGTCTTTATCCATCTAGCTACTCTCAGTCCTGATTTGGAGGTCAGAGAAGCTTTACTGTTTGAGATTTCATGTGAATTCTATTTATCATTACATGTTCTTTTTTCTTAATCTTTGTAGCATTTGCACTTGAAATGTACAGGCCCACTTAATCCTTTGCTCACCACACGGTTCATCCTGTTATTAACTTCATCGGTGCCATAAAAGAGTGTTTTATCCACCACCATGTGGCTATTAAGTATTCAAAGAAATTTTGTATATAAGTGGTTCAAAGCTCTAAACTCAAAGTATTTTGTAAAAGTCTTGAGGTTATGAGGTTATCAACTAGTACACTTTAGTTAGCGG